GTAACCGCAACTTTAAGAGCAAAGGGAGGGGGGGTTAATTTGTTGAACTTCTGACTACTGTAGCACTTGACTTATGATCAGCCAGCCATTCAATGTTGCAAGTAAAAGTACTTAAAATCCAGTTCCAAAGACCAGCACCTGCCATGGTTATGTCGCCTCATTTCAGATGCTGTATAACTAACCCACATTTATCTGGATCCTGTCAGAGCTGAAGAAGCTTCTTGGATGAGAAGCAAAACATTTTCAAAGAAAAGCAGGAAAGTACAGTTGCCTCTTGAAAAAAGCACCTTTGGGACAACCAGGACCTGGATGACCAAGAATCTTGATAGACACATTAGCCCACATTTCATCATCCACAGAACCCCATTTTCATGTAAGTACAATTTATGATCTCTGATGGTTTTTTCAAAAGGCAACTGGACTTTGTTTTTCTTTGACATTTTACTTCTCATTCAAGAAAAGTCTTCTTCAGAACTGAAAAAGCTTGTTGGATGAGAAGTGAAATGTTTTCAAGGAAAATGAAGAAAGCCCAGTTTTCTTTTGGAAAAAAAATATCTTTGGAACAACCCTGACTTGGTTGACTGAGAATCTCCATAGATTTTTGCTGATTTGTTGATTGCACTGTTTATTCACATTGAAAAGCACAAGTAAAATAGGAGTGTTTTTATGGATTGGAAACCTTCTCTGTTTGTACTATTAAAAAGAGGGAAATTCAATTCATAAAGTACTTAATTTTGTGAAGAAACTGTTTGGTGTGTTTTTTTAGGTCTGGATTAAAAAGATAGAAGGATGGAATCCTGACAGGGGTATCAAGATCCTCAGTTTTTGCCAGAAAGCTAAACATGAAAAATGAAGGTAAATAAACAGGATGCCCCTCAAAAAGCAGCTTGCCATAAAATTCTGTTTTCCTCAGAATGGTCTTTCCTCTAGATGGGAACTGTGCCTGCACAGAAACTCTGCTTTTGGCTCAAAGAATTCAAAATAGTGTCCACTCTTATTAAAGATGGAGAATACAATATAAGATAAATTTGTTCCAGATATGACTGTTATGTCTTCCGCATTCATTGGGAGTAAACCCAAGTATTTAAGTAAATTTATGTTTTGTAATGGTCAGCAAGAATGAAAAGTGGCTAGCAGTATCCTTTCCCAGAAAACAAGTTGTACTTCTTTTCTAAAAATACACAAGGCAGTAGAATTCTACTTTTTTCTAAAGTTTAACAAGCCTTTGAAATAGTGTGTGTGTTTGTCTGTGTGTTTGTGCATTATTTGGGCATTTTTCTTCTGTTTCCCTATTTCAGTTATTTTCCTTATTTCTTATTTTCCTTTTTAATGAGAGTATTTTCATTTCCTTAATGAAATTGCTATCCTCTAAATGTCATGACTGAAGCAGCACTAAGCTGCTCACAAATATAAGGCTTACTATATAATTTTCTATAATGAACATGTTAATGATACGTAGGAATGACCTTGAAATGCATAGTGGTTGGAGCAAGACACTCAAGAGTTATCCTCCCAAATTATTATCAGGTCATAAAGGTGAAAGCAGGAGAATATTTTTTTAAATTTTTTTCAGTTTTGCAAGATTCTGTTAAATGTAGCTTGGCTTATTGGGCAGTGTTTCTTGTCTGGTCTGCATCTCACAAACAAATTGGAGTTCCTGTACATTGTTTTGAGCCTTAGCTGGCAACTTTTCCTAAGAATTTTTGATTTTAAAATCCAGAGATTCAGCCCTTCTCTGCCATTCCACTCGTCAACCTTCATCTACCCATCTCTATTCCATCTTGAATGCTGAGGAAAAAATATCTAAGATAGAAAAGAAATGGGGAGAATGTGTGCCTGTGTCTCAGATTACCATATTTTTCACACTATAAAACGCACCTGACCATAAGACACATCTAGGTTTAGAGAAGGAAAATGGGCAATGACAAAGACAGAAGAGGTGGGGTTCAGCATTGCAAAAAGATCCCGCTGTCACGGCCTGTATTTTTTGCTCCGTAAGACGCACAGACATTTCCACCCACTTTTGGAGGGGAGGGGTGCATCTTATGGAGATAAAAATACGGTATGTTGTCAATTATTTGCCCAAAGGTATTTTGTTTGTCATGAAGGAGGACTCAGAGCCAACCTGATATGAACCTGCATGTTTCAACCTATGGGAATTTTATTCTGTTAGCCAATGATTTGTGACATTTCTTCTTAGTATCCATGTAGTTATATATATTTTTTGTAGCCATGAAGTTACTACCTTGTAACATATGCTTTCCATGTGCTCTTACTATGCAGAAAGCTCAACACATACAAGAATTTGTTACCCCATTAGTATCTTTTCTACAAAGACTATCTGCAGAATTTTTTTTCCAAAGAGACTGGAGTTCCAACAATATTTAATTAGGCATATGTATAAATCTAATTCATTAATGTTTTAATTAAATGTTTGAGTTAAATAGTTCAATTTGGGAATAAAGAGAACACAATTTTGTAAGTACAGAGTACTCTTTGGAAACAATTTTTTGGAAGCAAAAACATGGTGTTTTTCTGCAATTTTTGGCAATACAAAAAATAGAATAACAGAATTGGAAGGGACCTTGGAGGTCTTGTAGTCTAACCCTCTTCCTAGACAAGAAACCCTATACTACTTCAGACAAATCTTTTTAAAACATCTTTTTAAAAACTTCCAGTGTTGGAATATTCACAACTTCTGGAGGAAAGCTGTTGCACTGATTAATTGTTCTAACTGTCAGGAAATTTCTCCTTATTTCTAGGTTGTTTCTCTCCTTGATGAGTTTCCTCCCATTGCTTCTTGTTATACCTTCAGGTGCTTTAGAGAATAGCTTGACTCCCTCTTTTTTGTGGCAAACACTGAGATTTTGGAACACTGTTATCATGTCTCCCCTGGTCCTTCTCTTCACTAGACTAACCAGGCCTGGTTCCTGCATCCGTTCTTCATACGTTTTAGCTTCCAGTCTCCTAATCATCTTTGTTGCTCTTCTTTGCACTCTTTCTAGAGTCTCAATATCTTTTTTTAAATACAGATTTACAGAACTATTCTTATAAAAGATAAAGGTTTCCCCTGTCCAGTCATAGTGCTCATCTCCTTTTATTCGCTAAAGAAGCCAGCATTGATCAAAAACATTTCCGTGGTCATATGGCCAGCATGAAAATACACCAAAGGGCATGGAACACTGTTGATATCTTCCCACTGAAGTAGTACCTATTTATCTATTCGCACATGCATGTTTTCAAATTGCAAGGTTGGTAGGAGCTGGGGCAAGTAAAACAATTATTATTCTTAGAAGAATTCTATTTTTAAAGCATTTTCAAAAGTAACTTAGCTTTCAATAACATAATATTAATAATGAGAAACACCAGATTTAACAGATTTCATTTTTATAATTTGTAGTGCAAGAAACATAACCAAGTTAAATCACAGAATCAGTACTAGTTGAAGAATGTGGAAAATTCTCCTATACAGAGGTAGAATCCAGTGCACAAAGCTAAAACAATATTCAACAGTCTAAACAAGACTGAGCAAGGTTTTATGGAATCCACTTGAAATCTTAGGTATCAGACTGTATGTACATACATACAATAAACAGACTATACAATCTTTAAGGTTGTTTAATAAACTTCACAAAATTAGAATAAATTTATTGAAAACTTTACATAAAAAAACTTTTCTCTTTCTGTCATACCTTTCTCTAAATCCACCTGCCTCATTTTTATTATTTTTGTTGGAAAAAAACTGTTCTGCAAAATCTCAATAAAGCAATTGTTTTTAGCAATATAGATCTAGTCCAATTCGTTTCTCACTGTTTGCTATTTTCCTGAAATGAAAAGACACTTTTAAAAAAATCCAATAGTGTCCTTAGCTTCAAGCTCCTTGATTCCAGGCCTTTGACTGCAGGAATGTATTCCTTCCCTCCAAAATTAAGCCACCCGAATGTGTTCTTTCATGAAAATAAGGGTGTTCCGTTGCCTATAAGTAAACTACTTGTAATCATGGTTTTAAGGCTTAATGGGATCCCAATCAATATGCTTGTTCCTTATGCTGCTGCTGAAATATAGTGATAGGTGTTTATCCTAAACAAGGCGCTTATTAAATGTCTGGAAGCTATGAAGTGCAAGAGACAGTAAGGAGGTGCAGGAAGGAAAATCCTGGTGAAATGCTTTCTCTATTTTGCTAAAGCAATACACAAAAAGCAAAACCAACATCATCAAAAAAATCCCTTAACAAGTGAATTCCAGAAGTCCTGATACTGAAGCTGATTTTGGCTGATTGGTTGGTTTTCTGTATGGCACCATTCTCACCTGTGCAAACTCAATTATTTATTAGAGCACAAGTAATGTGTATGTGTGTGTGTGTGCATATATATATATATATATA